GGTTGAATTCACCAGAGATAGTCCTTTCTTTTGTAGACAGATGTTTCCAGTCCACTCAGTAATAACAGACAAAAAGTTATGAAGTCCTGATTGATCATATCACAAGAAACTTTTCCTGAGATTGTACTGATTGTCAAGTTTTAGAGCAAGTGGCATCATCACATGGTTTTCAGTCCTTTTTTTAGAATTACTGAATCTAATTAGGAACACAAAAGTATGACCTCTGGAAGGCTATTTATGGTCATTAATCCAGGTGAGCAATTCATATTCCCCCCTTTTGAGATATATTCATATACATACATATATATATATATATATATATATATATATATAAATATAATTCCTTACACTGGCAATACAATCATCTAGATTTGAACATTCCTACTGAGATTTCTCAGTTTTCACCAGGTGATATAGCCCTCATTCTTTTATCACTTACATAGCTAATAAATATTGTGTTACATCTCTCCAGTGCTGAACCCCAGGGCATTTCAATTTTAACCTCATTTCAGGATGAAGATAGGCTACTTATTCCTAATATTTTCTTCATGAGCATTCAAGCCCCATGATAGAATTTAAGAGCTGAAAGCTCTCCCGTGCTACCAGCTGCTATGGACTATATCAAAGACTCACTAAATTCCACATATACAGTTGTCTCACCGGTTTGTTCAATCTTTCATGAACTTCCTTGCAGTCAAAAGGAAGGAAAGTAAGACAGTCTTTGAAGTTGGTTTACATTATTTTTCATGTGCTCAAACTAATTTGGGGTGGAAGGGTCCTCCAGAGACCTCCAGTATAATGATCTTCCCAAAGCAGGGCCAGCCTTCAAATCAGAACAGGTTATTTGGGATTTATCCAGTCAGGTCTTGAAAACCAGCAAGAATGAAGACTGCATGACTTCTCCACCTCCTGATTTAGAAACCTGCTTCTGCTTCACTGAGCTTTTCCAGGGAGGACATTGACTGGCACATGCAGTGAGCATGAATTGAACCATGTGCACGGTTTTACTCCAGGCAGAGAGAAAATCTTCAAGCCCATGGGATGCACACACAGCCTAGATATTATAGAAGATACAAGTAGATTATTAATCATTCTTTCCTATTTAGAAATTATATGCAACATCTTCTTACTCAACCTTCATCCTTCAGGCAGCTTTATTTTGATATTAGTAGCTAAGGCAATTAAAAGAAATCTAGAAGTGGTTTCACAGGTAGTATCAATAAGTGGCAATTTAATTGTGGGGTTTTTCATTTTTTTTCTCAACTGTTCACACCTTTCAGTTTCTTGAGTCAGCTTTTATGTTATTTATGCCTTGTCCTGTCACTGAGAAAAAGACTTTGAAGGTTTTTCTACTCTCATTCCTATGTGGCCCTAATATTTCTGTGTACAAAAGCAGTTGGAGTACTGTACAGAGTAACAAAGCTGTATTTATGAAAGCTGTGTCAAGGATGTTTTCATAGTTCTGCTGGTCATTGCTTGATGAATGGTCAGAGAGAAGCCCAGGGCATGTCTGGTTCCATGGTGATTATCCCCACCAAAGTCCTTCAATTTCTTCTATGAGCTGGTTCAAAGTACTTGGATTATGAAATGAGGGTTTCAATTAATTCTCTTAACTAGGTATATGTATAACAGGAAAATCCTGAAGTTAAGGTGCTGCATTTCACACCCTGCTGTTTAAACACCTTTCTAATGGGAATTTTTTTCAGAGAAATTGATGTGTAATCAAACCAGAATTTCACTTACATAGTATTTTTGAATTTAAACTGCTTAACTAAAGAGGATTTATCTTTTAAATTCACCAAAGCAGTGGTTTAGTGAATTTAATTATTTATCTAGAGGAACTAAATATAACAGACTCCAGCAGCCCTCAGTTCTGAACACATCCAGCAACTTGCAATGCACCTGGGCCTGCCCAGTCCTCCCCTCAACGGAGCCCTCTCTGGCCTGCACCCAGCCGGCAGCGGGCAGCGCAGTGCCCTGCTCCTCACGGTCCTTAGAGCTTTCAACAAGCTACCCATGGAGAACAGAGCTTCTGGAGCACGCTGGAAACTGGGGACAATCACACAGCAGAGAGCTGCTGGAAGGCACACTTGGCACGGTGACCCTGTGCTGGTCTTTCTCACCTGCCACGTGAATCCCTGTCTCTGGCGCGTCTCCAGGCGTGTGACCCCAAAACAGCAGGGCCTTGCATAATAAACTTGTTTACCTTCTGGCTGAAGACAGCCCACGACTTTCACTCGCTGTGAAAGCAGTTTTAAATGGCCTGTTTGAGGTCTGAGGCAGGGTTATGAGCCCATCAGGTTGCCTCAGGGACGGAGGGGTTGCGCTGCTGTGTGCAAGGCCATACGCCCTGTGGTGCCAGCTACATCCTGCCTCGGAGCAAAATGAGCAAAGGCAGCAGTGGGGAACATCCCTTAGGCGGGAAAGGCTTCATGGTTTGTGCACATCTGTAACAAGTATCAGCCACTGCCTGAATTAGTCATGGAAAGATAAGCACGGATCTAATTTCACCACTCAACTTTCCAAACATTACGGACACAAACTGAATGAAGAATATATCTGATGATACATACAGCTGTCAAGTGGATTTATTGATGTCTTTTCTGCTGGCTATATATAAATATATATATATTCATAAAGATGAATTTCACCTTTTGAAGAGTTTTATTCTTGGTGAAGTGCTAATGACTGCATAATTCTAACTCTTAGTTTTCTTAAACTGGGGAAAAGAGTTTGGAGCGTTGTTGAATTTATCATTGATTTTAGGAAGCCACAGAAGGACCCAAATATATTTGTGTATGACCCCCAATCTTTTTACACATGTGAGAAGTGCAGAGTTAAAATTTGTGAAGACAAAGTTTAAAATATTTAATTCAGCTGTCAAAACTATTACTTACTTTCATGGAAAGTTATTGCTATTTTCAAGTCATAAATCAACTACAAAGACTATTCAACAGGAAATCACAGTTCCAACTCTTATCACAAAACAGCTTTCAGAAACCAAAGACCATATCACTAGCAAATATAGAAACCATCTGACCAGTAGCTCTTTCAAAAACTATATCATCACTTGAGAGATTAGATATGACATTACATTTAGAATTGCATAGAATCTCCCGTGCTAATTCAAACAAATTCAACAAAACACAAAACTCCAAATTCAAACAAACACAACCAAGTTTCATAATAGAAACAAATATATTTATTCCTACAGTTTGTCTCACGAATTCACCCATATGAAATCAGGGAAGGAAAGATTACAATATGATAAATGATAAAGCCAAGTGATTACATGGGACAGGAAAGACAGAGTCTGGAAGATTTTGGGTGAAATAGGCTCTAGGACAGGTGTTCCTTTTGTTACACTTTTAAATAACTAGAACTGCTGCTGAATTAGACAGCTATAGGTAGCCCCTAAGTTGCTCAGAAGAAAGTATTTCACACTGAAATATTGGTATAACTTTAAATTTCCATTCCAGGTAGTTAATCATAATGAGATCCTGTTCCTTACAAAGACATATATATATATATTCATTCTACATAATCTCCAAATTTTCAGAAAATTATTCAAATTAATTTCTTATTTATTCTGTGTTTCCTCAGTTGCCACTATAAAATTATAAAAATAATCTTTGATTACTTCATAATTTCATATGATTCTCAGAAAGGGCTAGAAATTGTGGAATGCAGAATGCTAAGAGAAGAGTAGTTTCCTTCTGTAAATAAAGACATGAAATTTAAAACATATTATAATTGATATTGCTATCTTTTTTCCTGTATAATGTTTACTTTAGAAGTCTTTCTCTACTTTAAATTTGGTGAAAAAAAAAAATATTCTGGTGTAACGCATTTTACTTTTGTAACTCTTCACTTTTTTGATTATTCCATTTATGGGCACGTTGTGAAAAAACTTTCCTAGGAAATGTTTAAATTTAAATAATCAAGCCATCTCTTATCTAAAAGAGATTACAGAGGTGGGACTGTTTGAAGTTCATTTCCAGACATTCAAAAGTGGAAAGTTCAGCCCAAGGGCCAAAACTGTTGCTCAGGGCAGTCAGATGCCTCTGCTGCTCTGGCAGTGCCTCACCAAGAGCAAACAGTTTCAAAACTGCATGAAGAGCAAGCAGCCAGTGATGAGGCAGGGTCACCCAACACTGCTCACCAAGCCACGGGGCCTGACCCAGCCAGCAAAGTGAAGAGATGAATCTCCTGTTTATGGACCTGAACCAGCCCACACCAATGGCAATAATCCTGGCCCAAGAAAGAGGGTGGGAATGCCTGACAGTGGTGGGGTGTTTCCATCCCTCCTCACAGCGGTATGAATTTAGGTCAATGGAAAATAATCCTGAAAGTGCAGCCCTCTAGGGCAATATTGTTCTCTTGTGCCAAAAATGACAGAGTTGAGCTGATGCTTCAGCCTGTCATAATCTCCACCCTCCCTTATCCCTGCTCCTTTCCCCAGCATGGTACTTGGCTACAGAAAGCCAAGTGGAGGTTTGGGAGTGAAAGCAGAGCTGCTGGACATACTCAATTAGCACAAGACAGATCACAGGACTCTGCTGTATGTGAGTGACCATGCATGGCAGATTAGCAGGGTCTGGCAGACAGAGTAAACCACCTATGTTTCCAATTAAATGATTTCTGTCAAATGTGGAATCCATGAAGCAATCAGGCACCTTCTAGATGCAAATCTGCATTCTCATTTTTACAGCTGCTATAAAGAATAAAGCACATAATCTTGAAAACCAGACCCATGTCAATGCTAACCATATGAAAACAAAACAATAAATGGAAACCCAGAGAACCTCTTTAGTATGCATGTTTTCTCAAGGCAGCAAAAATATATCAATAAAAATAATTTGCCTTTATGTATTATATTATTTTCTTTGGGTTTGTAATGATTTAAGTGACTTAGTCCTCATACCCAAACGGGGAAAACTTTAAAATTGCAGATTTCCTTTGGGTACAAAATGTAATGTTTTCCTTTCTTTATTTTCCAGGGACATCAAACCTGACAACATACTACTGGATGAACATGGTGAGTATTGCTTTCTCTCAGAATCTCTAATTCCTGAGGTCTCAGTGGCATGCTCATGACATGCTTTGTAAATCAACCTCTGATGTTGAATTCCTACCTAAATCTGGGCTTTCTCAGAAAGCTCCCTCAGAACACCTTGTGGATTTTGGAGTTTTCCCTCCTATTGCCAAAGAGATTGTGGATCAGCAGTTTTCAAGGTCTGAATACAAAGGAATTTAATATGAATTGAGATCAGCAGGGACACTTGATAAAAAGGAGTTAGTATTTTATTAACAGGATTATGTGAATCACAGTAACCCCTTTTTAGGTGCCTATCAATAGAACAGTACCAAACACTTTATCTTTTTTAGAACTTCTGCAGGGCTAAGAAATTCTACATAACAAATTATTTCTCATGTAGATATCTAAAATATACTTTCTAAAATCTAGATAGGGATTTTGGAAATTTGACTACAAAGTTTGTGTCCCTACCTGTAGTTCTGGCTTAAATAACATAAAAAGGAGTAGACAACAATAAACAGCTTTGAGCTTTTATTACTAATTCCAAGTTCTTAAAGATAAAAGACACAGTATGAAAGAAAAGAAGCTGATTTCTTTAAACTTAAATTTTAAACATATACTCTCTCCAAGAAGTATTTTGATGAAATGTTATGTATCTTCTTGTAACTGTTTATAGGGAAAACATGAGAAATATAGGTAAAGAGGGCATTAACCTGGTAGCAGTTAGAGCAGAATTACATAGGTGAAAAAGCCTAACTGGAAAAAGGAGATGTGTGCTTGCTACTGTGGGAAAGTCTTGTGCTTAATTTACTTTTGAAATTGATAAAAAGTAGATAATCTCTGAGAAACTAGAATATTAAAATTATGCCAGTGATAGCATTATGTTTCAAAATCCATCTCAGAGCTGCTGGGTATACAAGTTAGAGCTGATTAAAGAGGTAACATTCTGCATAGATGATGTTTTTTCCTGGGAACCTGAAAGCTAATAAGGCTTAGTAATATTGGAGTTTTAAACCACCTAGAACTTCAGCAAGTTAATGCTTCAGACCTGTAAGTGTTAATGTTCCCCAAGACTCTAGTATCAGAAAACAAGCGTGAAATAGAAATGTTTTGCCTTTAAGTCCTGGTGAATTCAAGATGTCAACAACAAGATAAAATGAGTATGTTAAATCTCTGACTGCCAGCCTTCAAAGCACAGTCACCTTTATCTCTCCTTGCCCCTCATGAAGGTCAATTAGTGCACAACACCAGCCTCGTGTGAGAGCTTTCCTAGGGACACTCAAGCATCACAAAGAGGAACCTACACCAGAGTGAGCACTACAATGCAAAATGAAGGGGCTTTTTTTGTGATTATAAACTATTCAGCAACAAAGTTATCTGTAGGCAGCCTGGAAATTTCGGGATGGATGGCCTCTTTTCTGCAAAGCAGCAGAAAAACTCCCTCAGAGCACACCTGCAGACAGGTGGTGAAGCAACAGACTTCTCCAGACAAGCATACAAATCTTGGGCAGCAGAAGCTATCAATTCATGGGTTCAAACAGGTACAAAGACCTGTCATGTGGCTGGGGGAAGGAATTCCCTGAAGTCTATATACTTTGACTCACTAAATGTGGCAGTATCAGTAGGACAAGTGTCTGTCCCATGCTAATTACCTCAGGCTTACCTTACTGAAGTTCTTTTGCAAGAAAGCTATTCTTGAAGTCCCTAACAGCTCTGATTAAGCTGCAACATAGTAACATCATTTTAACAAAATCATCAGATTTCACTTAATGGAAAAATGTGCTGAATATATGCACCACAAATATATTTGGCTGCAGAGTAAGCATAACAAATTCACTTAATATGAGCCTAACCAGGTGCACAGGAAGGAACTTTATTTTAGCCTGTGGCCTCTAACATGGCACAACAGTTTCCTATACACTTGACTTTACCCCTAGGTCCTTCTTACAGTTCATTAAATAAATTATACTCACACAAAATATTATGTAATTGGATATGCAAAACATTTCTATGCAAAACATTTCTGACTGAGACTTTGTGTCAGTGACTTAGATTTCTTTGGCCTCACTGAAGAAACCTATTCTGGCTGAAGTAAAAATTTAATGCTACACCATTCACATTGCCTTACATCTTCAAGCAGTTAAATTGACTAACTTTCATAACATATAACCAAGATACATATACCATAACATATACATATTATAGATATTGTGGTCAGTAAAATTAGTTTCACTATAATTTATCTGTATGGCTTAGGGAACATACCTCAGGCTTAGGGAACATACCTCAGGAATACAGAAGTAATGAAAACAAAAGATTTTTCTTAAAGCTTATCAACCTAATTTACAAATAAAAAAAACCAAAAAAACAACACAAACATATACAACATATTCAAAATCATTCTGGCAGAGGAATGTCCATATGTTTTTCATCAAAGCCACATCTCAGCACTGCTGATCACATGTTCAGATGTATCAGTTGAAATGTTTGATGATCCTGAAAAGCATAGTGGTATGTGACAAAAGGAAATCTAAAGCTATTAAAAAAAGTGTTCAGCCCATATCAGAGGACGATTGCATGGTCTCCTGGAGAGAACACATATCCCATCTCTGAGGAGAGAAAGTAGGGATGGTTTCAGGGTTCATTCTCTGAACCACAGTCAGACCCTCCAAGGAAATTAATTCAATCAATAAAGCTCCTTTTTATGATGTTTCTTTCTCAGCTTTCCCGGGAAGCTCTATCTTTTATGACTAACACTAATCTCTAAACTTAGCAGTAGTTCTCTGTTCTGCTAACATATATCTGAAACAGAATTATTCCAGTGACAGCTGAAGCAACTACCTAGTGTTTCAGGAGAGCTCTTAAAATTGTATTGTACAGAGAAAAGTATTTTAAAGTTCTCTCAATGACAGAATTCTGGTTCCTCTTCTATTCCTTCCATTTTAATGGTTTAGAGCAATATAACTGAAGTGACAGCATTTTGATCTGGAATCTAATTCTGGTTCATGTTGTATTTTTTTCTAAATATCAAGAAATGAAAGATATCTTTAAAAGTTTGCACAATCTATAAACTACAATGTCAAAGAGACAGGATTTCTTAAATGCAGAAAAACAAGCAGTGGCAAACATTAGAAAATTGACTTTTTAAGAGAAGATGACATTATTTCTATAGCTATTTGGTAGCACCAATAAAATTAACATTTCTGGTTGTTTTGCAGAAATTCCAAGATCTACTTTTGCATCCAGACTTAGCCTTGTACTAAGTGACCACACCATCATTACAACCTGTTTACAAAAAACCTGCAAAAGTTTGAATTCCTCTTAGGCAAGTTTTCCACAACAGTGTTTCATGAGATGCAGCACGATCCCTGCTTGCTTTACTGAGGAAAAACTCCCTGCTAGGTCAGATCCAAGACCTTGCCCAGCATTTTGTTGTAAGTTTGTTTGCTGCCTCCTTGAAGCTGCAGCTGATATTGGCCCCACAATCTCCTGGAGCAACAAATTGTAGAAATTTACCATCCTTCAAGAAAGAAAAGTGGGTTTTTTTAATGTGTTTTAAAACATTCTTCATTCAAAAAATCCCCAAACATCTAGAATTCTAGAATTTGATGAAAAATAACTTACAATCACAAGATTCAAGATATTGAAAAACTCTGTCAGCACCCTCCTGTCAGCAGAAGACCCTCAGTTTTTTTAATGTCTCCCTACTGGGGAGATGTTTTGCCCCTCTCTCTCTTGCCATAGATAAAGTTACAAATATCCAGGCTTCCCATTTCAGGGCAGAAGAGCAACCACAGTGGATTAACCACCCATCTAATTGAATTTCTTATCTCCAGGAGTCTCCAAAAAGTGAATGATAGAGCAGAATATAAAAAAAGTCTAGTTTTTGTGGGACTTTCCCACGTACTCACCCAACCTCCAGCTCCTTGTGCTTGAAACATTTCCTGGCTCATGATTTCCATATATTTAACAGCTTTCAGTAACCTTTTCTGAGACCTTTTCTGGTGCTTGAGTGAAGAGAACTTTAATCTTCCTTAAGATCTTGTATTAGCATCCTTAGCTTAAATACAGATTATGTGAAGACTCACAACCTAGTTGTTAATGTAGCAAGGACCTACTTGCTAATTTCACTAAATGATTGCTATTTCTAATTTTGAAACTGTCTCCTGATGGCTATCCATACTGAAATCACAGCTCTAATATTTCACTCTTAGACTTAACAGGGTTATTTACATGTAATTGGGTTTTGGGGGTTTCTTAGATATATTTTACTCAGAAAAAATCATTTCACTTATGAATGAACAAAATTAATTGAAGCTGGAATTAATTTATTATATTGATTTGTGATCATCAAAGTTTTCCTTAAAACTCTATCTCCTTGAATACATTTCAGCTCTCATTTGAAAACTCTCAGCAAAACTGAGAGATGTAGCCAATGAGCAATCTTAGCATTAAAACCTACCCAAAAATAAATTACTGGAATCTCAATATTAACTTCTGAATACCAGAATGGACAATATTATTGCTGTATACTGATGCCTGTGAGACAATTTGCAGGGACTCTATCTTGTTTAATCTTCCTGCATAATACATTGACCTGAAGCTGTCTGGATTTTGAAAGTGTCTAGACTTTGAAAGTGTATCTAAACTTACATGCCTACATGGCCATTCAACAGCTTAACTTTTTGAAGTGCACAGCTTTGCTGAACCCATCTACAGCCATGCAATTTCTACCAATCTCCCTAATGATAAGTGCCAGACCGCCAAGCCATGCCAAGTTCGGGTGGGTACAAGCTTAGGTTCTCATACATGGTACAGATGGACCCAGAGAGGCTTTTAAAAGGGTTTGACTTTCTGAGAGCAAGTCAGATTTGAATGTACTTCAAAATGTTACTGTTCTGAGATTTACAATCAGCTCTGGTGCTGCTGGGTTGATGGCATTAACTCTAGTATAGTATTTCTTCTCTCTGACATCACATTCACCTCTTTGGTTTCAGACTCTGAGAAATTCAGTGAGGCCCAAAGCCATGTACACTTTCCTCTGCTGAATGTTAACCAGCTTACCTCAGCCAACTTTCAGACTTGTTCTAACTGTCATTATAATATGCTCAAAAATTAAATCCAAACACAGATCATTTGCTGTTTACTTCAGATACTGCAATTTCAGGCCATGTTGAAAAGTGAGACAAAAAAGTCATATCTCATAAAGCTTTCCAAAGTCATATATTGCTCTGTGGGTAGTTAAAGCCTTAACTGAAAGCTGACTGAAAGAATGTAAATTTGAAACAATTTCCAATGAGATATTTTCTTTTCCCAAGTGTTGGTGTATGTGTAATCTGCAGTCTGAGATGGTTTAAAAACGTCACTCCGCAGAGACTCAAAGGAATGTGGCCATTTGCTTTTTCTTCCCTTCTCTCTACAATCATCTTATTATATATGGGGCCATTCAGCTCCAAGGATTAAGCAATGAGCTCTTTCCCTGGGCTAACTTGAATTTAGGTCTGCTGAATCTGTTGTGCACTGCTCTGCTTCACTGTTCGTAAGGGCTAAATCCAAGCGACACTGACGCTCTGCTTACTTCAGTATTATACCAAAGTACAGTTTGGACATTTAGCTGTTTACAATCATACCCAGAAAGGGAGAACAACCACAAGGTGTGAAGATCAGATGGGAAAAAGTTCCCATGAACAGAAATTTTGCAGTGAGAATCAGGTGGAATCCCAGCACATTCACTGCAGCAATAGCAACCTTCTCTTTTCCTATGTGCAAGAGTTGCAGTAAAAACTTGTCTTAGAGGCTGATTAGAAAGACTCCTATAGGGAACTCTATAGGCTCTAATTGTCTAGAAATATTCACACCAAGAATGAAAAACTTAAGAAAAACCAAAGCAAACCAAAGCAAACCAGAAAAACAAAAAAATCAAACCAAACCAAACAAAACCAACCAAAAAACCCAGAAAACAAAAGACAAAAAAAACCCAACCCCCCCAAAAAAAACCAAAACAAAACCCCCCTGATTCTTAGGCTTAAAAGAGTTGAAATCATCCAGTGGTACACACAAATAGACAGAGCTCCACCTCAACACCCTTCCTTCACTGACCACAGGCACAGGGGGTTCACTCTTGCTCTGCCCCTGTCCTGCAAAAACCCCCTCTCCATGCCTCCAGCTTCAAGCAGGTAGCTCCCCTGCCTGTAGAACACCTTCCTTTCACTCCAGCATCAATTAGCAGCCCCTCAAGCAGCAAGCAGAGGCAGCCTGCAGACAGTCTGAGGGCTGTGGAGCAGCCCAGTGATGGGAAAAAGCAAAGGGGCAGCTTTTCCAGCAGTAAGCTGTGCCCTACCTCATGTGCAGGAGCCGTCTCTCGTATGGGCAGCAGGATACAGAGGAGCAATGCAGAACCTACCTTCACATTCCAGCCCTTACCTAACAGAAAGATATTTTTAACAAAAAAAACCCACAACATTTAATGTGTGCTATTTTGGTTTTGTTAAACGAAATCTAATAAAAGGGAGAGAAAACAATGTACTGCAGTAGAGGAAATTTTCATTGCGAATCATCTATTTGGGTCAGTCTGAATAAATGTGATGCAAAAATGTTTTGCATGGGCAGTCATATTGGCACTCTAATAGATCATCACTTGCAATGCTGTCATTGAAGTGGCAGAAATTTATATTTATATTTTCTGTCAAAGAAAGAGAAAATTTGAAGCTACCAAGATCCTTGCAACATTTCATTCTACAGTGTACATAGAATTGCTTTAAATTGCTGCCATTAGGTGGCTTTTTTCAGTTACCATTTTGAAGAAGCTTTTTGCCACAGTGTTTTGTGATGGCAGAAATAAACTGCAAATATGCTTCACTCCATCCACCAGGGAGTAGGAAAACCACCTTGGAATTGTTATGTCAAGCTGGGCTGTGAACACTTATTCTCATTATGGCAGCACAACACTTCCCACCTCTTATAAAGGAATGGCTTTCATTGGCCCACGGTTTTTCTCTGCCATGTGTAGAGGGCTTCCTGGCCTGGGCATCTTCAGAAAAAAAGCATCAATAAAATGCAAGCAGGTTTTTTGAAAAAAATTGTGGAAAAGCAGGCAAACTGTTTCATTTAGAACTTCTACTATGTCTCCCATTTGGAGAAACAGCTTTAAGTTTAGTAGTGGGAAGTACCTTCCTCCTTTCCCTCTTCAAAATCAGCTCAGATCTGGCCAAATTAGGGTCCTCTGAGAATTTCAGTTCACACATGCAAAGCTGCACAATTAGAGGTTGGTTGATACACTTCTTGTGGACCTTGAGCAGGATCCAGGTTAGACTGTTGCAGCAGCATGATTTTGTTGAGACTGCTTTTCCTCCATCAGGCACCAGGGAAAAATCCATCAGTCATTTGTTACACTCTTTTCATCTTTGGCAGAGAACATGATTAAAAGCCTCCCTGGTGTAGCAATTGCATCATGCCCAAGCCCTGATCCAGTCTGTGGATTGAGTGAGACTGAGACCTTGATAAAAAACCCACACACAAATTTGTCACTCAGGGGTCTAGTTCAACATGATAGATATATTAATCCTGATCTGAGTGCAGAGCTAAAATGGGGAAGTACCTACCCCTGTCCTTCATGGCATTGCCAGATGTAATCACAGAGAGGATAGTATCAGCATCACTCCACAACATTAGTCCTTGAGCAAAGATGCAAAACCTAATAGAAGACTTGTCAAATTAACACCTTACATAGTTTCAAGCTGGGTTTCTCTTCAGTTTACTTGCCTATAACAAATCAGGATTAACAACTATTATTTCACAGTGGTGGAGCAATTGAACCTATGCTTATCATAAACTCTCCCAGGAAAAAAGTAATAGAAAGTTTGGGCTGTTCAGCCTTATAAGTGCAGATAAATCATCTGTCTGGCTGGTCAAGCAGCACATTCTCAGACTTCTGCCACTTACTGTTCATCTTGCTATCTGCTGTCAAATGAGTGATTATTTGGGATCTGCTCCTGTTACATACACCTCTTCTGCTTGTATGGATCTAATTTTATAGTCACTGTGTGATAAAAATAACATTTTTCTTCTCCCCTCCTTCTTTGCCCTGAAAAGACTCAGAAGAAGGCTGATGGTAACCTGTAGTGGATGCAATTGTAGACAGTGTCACACTGAGATGTGAGGGGTGACCGTAGTTGGAGATGAGTCAAATTTCATACACAGCTTCACATTCTGCTTCTGCATGTTACTTAAAACTCTGAGAAGACAGGGAGAATCACAGAGTAACAGAATGGTTATGGTTGGAAGGGTCCTTCAAGGTCATCTTGTTCCAGCCCTCCTGCTGTGGGCAGGAGCAGGACCCATTAGCCCAGGCTGGGGGCTCAGAGCCCCACCCAAGCTGGCCTTCAGCCCTGCCAGGGGTGGCCCATCCAAAGCTTCCCTGCGCCAGTGTCTCACCACACTCCAGGCTGGGTCTCACAAGGGCAGAGCAGGAGGAATCACCTTGCTCAGCCTGCTGGCTGTGCCTCTTTTGGCACAGTCCAGGATGGCATTCTGGGCTGCAAATGCACACTGCTGTGGCACATCCAGCTGTTCATCCACGAGAACCCCCAAACTCTTCCCTGCAGGGCTGCTCTCAATGAGTTACCTCCCAGTGCGTGCTCCCAGCTGAGATTGCTCCCATCCAGGTGCAGTACCTTACACTTGGACTCGCTAAACTTCATGAGGTTCTTGTGGGTCCACTTCTGAACTTTGTTCATGACATGAGAAGATTCAGGGGTGATCAGCAAAACCAGCTCAGGAGTGCAGACAGGTAGTGGGTGCAACCACACAAGAAGAGTATTCCATCACTGTGCTTCCAAACTGATTTTTCTAGTTAAGAGTAACATTTAATATTAAGTTTGTATTAATGTTACATATCTTTCCAATTGTGATTATTTCCATTATCACTTAAATGTTAGAAAAAGTGAGGAATATTTGTATGATGTGCTATTTTAATTTCTGTTTTTACTTTGTGTATTTGCAGGACATGTTCATATCACTGACTTCAATGTAGCAACCATAGTGAAAGGCTCAGAAAAAGCTTCTTCTATGGCTGGCACAAAACCCTATATGGGTAAGTTTTCAAGACATTTAAAAATGCAAGAAAAGTTACACATTAAGGCTGAATAATGGTATAACAAAAGGATTTTAAGTTGTAAAAGCATAAAGTAGATGTGATAAGCTTTTTTCTACAATATGTGTGTCAGCAGTGAAAATCTTTGATGGAGAATGTTTGGATGTTATTTTATACAGGAGCTTCATTTCTACATTCTTCTAGTCAGTTCTGTTTGGTTTCATGAATTCAAATTCCAGAGAAATTCAGCTGTGTTACTTTCTGTAAATCCCCACATCTGGAGACAAGAATATATGATATATTTGTACTACAAGAATTTATGTTATATCTGCTTAGGTGAAATGAGCAGCACAGCACAGGCATGGGATACAGAGCATTAGGAGTCAAAGGAAAGATGGGAGACAGGGAAAAGATTTTACCCTTTCACACTAATGGATCTGGTCTAAGTTCACCTCAGTTCATGTAGTTCTTCCACTCCTGAAGCCTCCTCCCCACTCATCAGATCTCCACCATATCCATCAACATCACACCAAAAAACAGTACCATAAAAATTCTCTCCTTTCCTTAATGAAGGTTATCACACCATCCACAAATTTACTTTCTCTTCATGGTGCCTTATTCACCTCTCGGAAATGTAAAGATGCTGCAAAAGCCCCAGTTGCAGACTTTGCCATTCAGAAAGTGTCAGAAGAATCACCCTTGCATTTATTTGCAGCTGTAAGAAGACAGCAAAGCTTTTAAAGCTGTAAAAATCCTCTGTTTCAGATGAAAAGTGATGGGTAAGGATTCTCTGTGGCACAGTTTGGATATCAAAGCTTCCACACACCAAATATTAAGTGTGTGACTGATACAGCCAGCCATATGACATTCATTGGTGCTACTTTCCTATTTTAGTTTATGCCTTTTATTTTGTGACGAATTCTAACTTTAGTGAAATGCTACAAGGACGGACATTTCTGTTGCAGTGATTTCTGGTTGTAAGGCTGTACCAAAGGCTTTCCATGTGGCTTCTCCTGAGTTATTTAGACTATGAGGCAAACAGAAAAAAACAGAATTGGGGAGGTTGGCTCTATGGTTGCTGGTAAGCTTCTTTTATCAGGAATTCAAACCATAGTTTAACCTTGGTGAAACAAGACAAAGTCACCTTCAAGCATGGTACTTGCTGAGTACCAGAACCAAGGAAAGTCAGCAGTTTCTGTAGGACATGTCTAATTCTATGCTGATTTTCACAATGATGATAGTATGACATGTGATGAAAGCTTTTTCCCCCTCCTGAAGGTTTATAAAATCTTACTCTCATGCGGATCCTGTTATGTTTCATCAGATAAGAGGGCACTCTCTAGCCTTTCCCTTAGCAGAGGCACTTATAGGAATTCTCACGTCTTCCTACGGCAAATTTAAGGAAATAAACAGAAAAACGTTATCTCTAAAGCCTTCATTCCTCTTTTAAATCTGATTGAAATAGGCTGAGAAATTGCTGGGGAGTGATTTGTTCACATGCAGCATGACCAAATAAAAATGGTTTCCAGGAAAAAAACAGTGAATTGATATTGTGTTGTAAAAATGCCCTAGCTGTTCTGATTAAGATGCCTATCTTGTAATGCTAAGCATGGTGTGAGTCAGCTCCTGCAGCCTTTTCTTAATCCCACTTCACATTAGCCTTTCAGCCCCAAAGTCTTTGCTTAATCCCACTTCACATTAGTCCCAAATATTTCAGTCTGAAATATTCCCTATTTCCCTACTTATTAAATGTTAATGCAGAATGCACCGTACCTGAACCTGAATGTTTTTCTAGAAACCCTGTCCTTCACTTCCCAGTCAATTCATTCAAACAAGTGAAATACCCCCCACACATAGGAACAAAGACAGGGACAGCAGTATATGTGAAAAGAACAAGGCCAACAGCCTGGCAAGGCAGGATACTTCCAGCTGCTTCTGCAGCTTTTCCTCTCAAAGGTAGTGACCTGAAATGCTGAAATGAGATCAGCTTCTTAGAGTTTGGGGGGGGTCCTCCTAGTTTCTGTCTTGTGCTGTTCAGGTGGGACTGTGGAAGGCAATGTGTGCCTTCTGCTGATTTGGGAAACCTATGTGTCATCTGTGCCCGATTTTACCTTCGTAAATTCACTGCTCAGACCTCTTACAACACCCATGACTGAGGGTGTTGTCAAGGCTTTATTGTAGGAATAGCTCTTTGTAAACTCGTACTGTTTCAGTCTGCCATCCTACCCTGGCAAGCAAAGCAAAATGTCCTTTGAGACCAGGCTGGCTTCTGGCAGGCACAGCTGCTGGCAGCAAACCACCACCAGCAGTGGGGAGGATTCCCTCTATTCTGCACTGGGATGTGGACCAGGAAAGCCAGGGCAGGACATGGTCCCTGCATCTGCTGGTCTGTTCAGTTGTGCCTCTTTTCTCCTGCAGAAGGATATTACTTTGGCCTCTTATGAGAAAGGGAAGTGTGTGTTCACCTGACTGGAAACACCTGTGTAAGGCCTTGCTACTTTCAACATTGTTCCATCTTTATGAGTGACAAGAAAACCCCACAAAAAAACAAAAAGAAAAGACATTTCTTAAATTGCTCCCTCGTGAACAAGGCTGCAAGAAATATCTGTGTGTCTCAAAGAATATGCTCTGTGCTGGGCACCCATCTGCAGTGATGGCCCTCTACCCTGCAATAGAGTACTCAGGTATAAACCCAAAAGTTAAACAGTAAAACACATCTAGAAAATATAACAGGTTTCAGCATTCCTCACTTTGGCAAATTTATGTGTGTTGAAATATTTTGGAATGATCAATTTCCATAGATCTGGGTATTATTTTTGAGTGTTGCAAAAGCTTTCCATTCACAGGTTATATTTTGTGAGGTTTAAAGTTTGTTTGGTTTTTTCATGTGTGTTTTTTGAGTGGTTTTGTTTCTGTTATTGCTTATTTTTGTTTTGGGAGCTTTTGGTTTTAGTGGTAGGAGGGTTTGGGGGAACTAGGTAGAGTGTTTGATGTTTTTCTCAGCAGAGACTGAAGATATTCAAATGATGAACTGTGACTTTACCTCAAATCAAACCAATAAAATACATTTTGTTACACAAATACACCTGACAAAAATCCAAAGTCAATAAAATCAGTCATAAATTATGTGAAACGTTTCAACTACCCCATTCCTATCTCACAGGCGTGTTATCTCAGGTTTTCACAGCTCCTTTCATAGGCTGCTGTCATGGTGAAGAATGACTGTATGCCTGAGATTACCAGAGGATTGTGGATTTATACTGATCCACTGAACTAAAACGTATGTGTCATCCATATTTATCAATTAATACTGTGTAAGTGTACTATTGAACTCAGAGGAAAGCCAGTGGATGTCCTGATAGCAACCTTTCACATAGAAAAAATTATCCCATAGAGCTAAATTTGTTCCTCAGATAGTTAAAATATAGCAGGGAAAGTCTTGAATCATCTTTTCAAAAGTTGTCAAGCTTTGGTCTTTCTTGCAGTCATATTAAACAGTGCTCCGAAATTAAATAATGTTTTGCAGCTCATTGCATTTTGAATGCAGGTAAGGCAGTGTTTAGGTTTTTGAAAAGCTTACCTTTATACCACAGGAGGTTTGACTGTCTGTCTGCAGAGTTTCTGTGGTCATATCATCACCTGACCTTTGATCCCAGGAAAATCTCATGATGTCAGCATGACAAGGGAGGCTTCTGTTTGTTCTGATAAGCAAGAACTCAGAGTGCCTGTGTGAGACTTTGAGATGCTGAAATCAGTACACCCCACACCAATAGGACTTTCAGCTCTGCCAGGAGCTGTGTGGCTGAAGGGATTAAACACTGAGCTGTGAGCAGGCATTCAGGTTTGGGTTCCACTCTGGTGCTAATGAGTAGGAACAGAAGCAGCTGAGGAGCCTCAGGAGATCAGGAAAGAAGTTATTACCTCCAGCTGCTCTTCGCTTTATACTTTCTGACCTGCTACCATCCTTTAAGATCTTCCAGAAAAACTACTAATACAATAATTCCTTTGACTATTTCAGTTAATAAATACCCCACTCTAAGTTCAAGAGGTAGTTTGGGTTTGGGCTTTTTATTTGTTAAATTGTTCATTTGGGTTTTTATTTATTACCTGCCTGAAAGGGCCTGGTGTGTTGTGGAGCTCTGCAGGCAGATCTGAGGGGAGCAGAGGTCCAGCAGGGCCATTCTGCCCCCTGGATAATTCCTGGTTTTTGGTCAGGCCAACCCAGCCCTGCCCCAGGTTTTTGTATACATAAACTGGTGTGAAGTTATTTTCTAACCTGGTAGGAGTATGTGATGCAGGAGCATGTAGCAGTCCTGGTGTGTCAGGCACAGCCTGTCCTGAAAATCCTCATCTAGGCAGACCCTCTAATTTCAGTACTGGGCAGAAGAGCTGCTGTCTATACACTGGAACAATCTTCCAAACACCAAATGGACATTTTTGGACAAAATCCTGTCTAAACATTGCTAGAAAAACTGGCCCTGCAGCCACTGTGAGCTTTTGTGTGAAGGAACAAAGGTGCCTGGGCACAATTTCATGTTCAATAATGGGAGACCATTATTGATTGAGCAAGATGCTCATGGCTGCTGGGCTTTCTTTCAACAGGGGTAGCAACTTGAGGTTATTTCTCTGAGGCTGATCCAGATGTTCAGGCACTAAGGACTTCTCTGTGCAAGGTCAAGAAGTGAGTTCTGTTCAGTGGTTGAGTAAAGCAGGGGGTTGTATGAGGATAGCACGCTGAATAAGGGCAGGAGAGGTTATATAGCCATATGGAAAACTAATAAGGCATTCTAAATGCCATGTCTGTTTTCAGGTAATGGTATCTAAATTATTTACTTTGATTGAATAATTGCATTAAATATGAGTATTAAAACTATTGAGGTGTATAATGTGAATAATGGTGCAAAATCAGTTACATGGCTAGAACAAGTATAAACCTCACACTAGAAAATTGCCATCCCAGCATGCCCAGGCTTTAAGCAGCATTTTGCCTTATAAAACAGAAGTTAGCAGCTGGCTAGTCTAAAGGTCTGAGTCAGAAGGCTGACCATTATAATTTAGACCTTTCTAGTACATGAGAAAGTAAACACTAGGAGGTAAACTGATAGCTTACTTAATCTACATTTATATTCAGGGAGAGGGAAGTTGTTTTCTTCCATTTTGCTCTTGAAACAGCTTCTAATCTGGATAGAAGATCACTGGTCATTATTGTAGTTTAATTTCTGTTTTCTATTAAAAAAAAAATCCATAAAAATTACTGACCTCTGAATTTACTTCTCAGGGGAAAGTGAAAAATAATATTTTCTCATCACAGTGCTGAGAAAGCAATTAACATTTCACTGAAACATCTCAGTTCAGGGTTCTTGGAATATTATTCTAAAAATCAAGTTCATTTTTTATTCAGCTCAATCTGTCATGCCTTAAGCCTGATTCAGCAAGGTGAAGCAATAAGTGTGCTCTATGCATCATCATTCACACATTTAAAATTTGCAAACATCTAACATTTCAACAGCTTGTCCTGTGCTAGTCAAGCAAAATATTGCTTATGCTGTGTGTATCATATATATATGTATATATCAAGTTACACACACTTTTTTTTTCCCCCAAGATCAGGGGCTAATATGTGGAAGGAGAATGATACCTGGCAGTGTGATAGTATGCTGAATCTCAGTTAATGGCACTGGAATGTATTTTCTAATCTGAAATCTCGGGCACTGCAATAAGACCCATGCCACTGAAGTATGTTTTGCTGCAATGACTAAAGCAGAGTGTGTTGTATTGCAACCCCTCCAGTAAACCACAAACCTCTGATTCCCCTTAGTGACATGTAGGGTCTCTGCTGAGATGCAAAAAAACATCAGAGAGCTGTAGCTAGACAACTGGATGAGCAATGTCAGAGATTTCGTTTTTATGAAATGTTTTGGACATAGCCATCTGAACTGGATCATAAAAAAAGAAAAAGAAAAAAACACTAGGGGTTTTTTTTGTTTGTTTTTTGTTTCATTCTGTTTCTCATATTAATAACACTGTCACAGGGCATTGTGCAGGAACTGATGACCAGATGTCATTGCCAACATTTAGCTTTTCATGGACGGACAGCTCCTTAGAGTAATCCATCCTGCAAGAATGACTTGCAAGTTATTGCTTGAATAGACTGATTTGTTAGTATGTAGATGCTCCATCAAAAATAATAGCAGCCATTCTTTTTGCCTACCACACCAAGAGATAGACCTCAAATTGATCATTTTATCATGGACAGCATTTTCAAACTCACCTCTGAGCACCAAATTAAAAATAGTCAGAATTTCAGAGACCCGGGGCACTTATAGCTTATGAAGTTGTGATACCAATGAATACTCAGCAGATTTTCAGAAACCCTAATTAAAATGTTTTATTCTTTGTACAAAATGGAATTTTACAATGGGAAAAAATAGTGAAAATTTGGTTTAGCATTATTTGCATTTACATGGATATTCTCTTTTATTTCAAGCTCATGAATTATATTGCTAGATACTAATATCTTTCCACAATTAAAGGTAGATAATTACCAACCAGGTACATAAAATTTCCTTTTTTATATCTTTATTTTTGTTACAGTTCTTTAGGAAAATATGTATACAAGATGAGGTGCATCATCTACAAAATTCACATTGCAGATCATATGACTGATATGAAAATTCCAGTGGATAGTTATATACATGAGTGGATTTGTCCAAAACTACTCCCTTTTGCACAAATCTACAGAACAAGAGTAAGGATATCCCAGTATGCTATTGCTTCTGAGATGGATGCAGACCCACTAGATTTGCTTTCACATTCAATTTGTTCGTATGTTGCCCTCTAGTATGGTTTTATTTTAGAGAGAAATAACCATTTATTTACTTTCTACAGTCTGTAGTAGTATGGCATTATTAAAAAGATACAGTGCAAAAGCATAAAAAGATAAATTTCTGAAGAGGATTTCTTTTAATTTATTGGAAAAAAGTATTGACTGGGTATTTGTACTGGGGACAACCAAGAAATGCACTGAAGCACACAATACAGTACAAATGTGGATTAATTTGTGTAACTTTTCAAGAAAGCAGAGCAGGTAAAGAGTAAAATAATGAAGGTGTATTATTAAGAGAAAAATATAGATGCAGAAAAGAAACAATAGAAGGACTTTTACTTGGCTAGTTGCCAAAGTTAGTATGTGCAATTACTCATTTTTATATAAGGCAAAGAGACATTCCTAATTTTATTTGCTCTGTTAAAATTAGTATAGATGCCCATGCCCTATCTTGAAATGCCATTGGTATTTAAAGGGTATTTCTTTGTAGTTTTCAAAAAGTTGCATGAAAGGTGTCAGATCACACTTTGTGAAACATGAAAAGCAATAACCCAAACAAAAAGGCTGCAGTCTTCTGAGTTCCACACTTTTAGAAGTTCCCATTACTTTGGGTGATAGGTTTTCCAGGCATCAGAGCAGAGGTGAAGAGTCCATGCAGTTCATGATGACTGCCAAGAGGAAGAAGCTGTAAGGATCCCATGGAGGGTTTTGGCCTCAGTGATCCCATTCAGATGTGCTGTGAGGAGCTGGCTGCTTGAGCTTCGCCAGGATCACAGGATTGTGGGGTGACTCGTGATAGCAGGGCCCCCAGGAGCTCTGCTCCAACTCTGCTCAAAGCAGGGAGAGCAGTGAGGCTACACCAGGTTCCTGCTCTTGAGTCATTCTTCAGGCAGCTCTAGGAATATGCAGTTCTTTGTCATATCAAAGAAATTAGGTCAGGGGAGCTGTGAGGACCTGTGGGATCTACCAATTGCAACATTTCTCTGCTTTTCTTTGATTTCACTCTTGCTGCTAGACTTGATTTATCTTCACTATTTAAAAGTTGAGCTTCTGCCATGCAAACATCTACTGCCTTTCCCCTAAGTGCATGCGATTGTAACTACAGCTCTTAGCCAAAACAAAGTGCAGGATCAAACCCAATATTAAACCATTTATTTTCCTGAAAAGCCTTTGTTCAGTGGAAACTGCTGAAGGAAAAAGATAGGAACCTTTCTCTTGCAGGTACTCTCACTCTTGTTCACACAAACTCTTAAAGGCAGAATACTTCTGCCCATGTAGATGCATGGGGGTGAAAGGTGAAGTATTCTTCTTGTCCTAAATCTGTTATGGCAAGAGAGGGTATGTTCACAATGGGCACACACAGCAGAGCTGTTGCCTTTGATCCAAGCTGGCAAGCTCAAATCTGGTCATCCTTTGGAAGAATCTGCCCAGAGCGGGCTGCAGGATGGCTGTCCAAACTGACCCTGGGATTAAGTTCAGATTTTAAAAGGTTACAGATAGTCTATTTAGGTAACAATATTAAAGAAAATCAATGCACAATTTCATTTTTCAGAGTTTTTATTTGCTTTTTTCCTAACCAATTTGCACTCTGAATTGGTTCTCCAGGCACAGTTATTTCTCACAGCAAAACTTAATATTATGTCCTGTATTTCATAGCTCTAGTTCTTCAGAGTTTGGCTAATTCTATGACTTGGAGGGTCTGTTGTCATTCTGTAAAATCATGCTGTTTCTGAATGAGCAGGCAAACTCCAGAAGTCTGCACACAGCCTGGAGCCCTTCGTTTGCACCAAATGTCTCAGTTCAAAAAGAATTTTAGACACATTAAGCACAAGCTTGGTGTGAAATGGGTGTTTAACTGTCTTGTCAAACTAGAGAAAGGTCTTCTGGCTTCAACATGGATGAGATTTCACCCTGAGAAAAAACCTGTATAGGATACTGCAAATCATACTGCACCCTCTGCCAGTCCCCCCTCATGGGAAGTGAGTGTTTACAACCGCTTCAGCGGAGCTGATGGGGAGCAGAGAGGCATTCCAGCTGGACTGAAAATAATGCTGTTAGTGTGGGCAAAAAGGGACTATCTGCTTTAAAAACTGGGACCTTAACTGCTCATATTCTGACCTAAGAATGCCATCAGCATAAGGTGAGAAAACAGCTTCAAAACTCCAGGGCAAAAGAAAACATTTTCTGCTGATCTACCTAATATAGGATGAGTTGACCTTGAGAATTTTAGAACAATAAGATAAAATAAAATAAAATTTAACTCAATAGCTCAGTCACTAAATTAGCAAAACACCTGCACCATTCTGGCAATATCACAGGTTACATCAATAAAGCGCTTTTACCTCTATCTCACAGAAATCAGATAGTGACCTGTCTCATTATTAAAATGTTAAATCTATAAAAGAAATAGCAAAACCAGTATTACACTTGCATAGTTCAGTAAAAATGCCAAAAGGGTATTTTCTGTAATGAGATATTGTACATCATCTAGGCATGTTGGGCAAAAACCATAACAAACGGGGCTAAATCAAGCAAACCTTCACTGCAAGGTTCCTATGGTGATATTCAAAATACAAGTTTGTTGCCTGATGTGCAATTTAAGTGCATCGATCCACTGAAGTAATAAAAAGAATCCTGCTTATGCTCTCACCATCCATCTTTCTGATAGACTGCACCCCTTTAGGATGTGCCTACACACCAGCAGCATGCAAATAAGAGTTGAAATATACACAAAGACAGAGCATGCCAAGGGAAGCTATGTCATCTGGAGGTGAGACAAAGTTAAGTCAGTGTAATGACTCTTTATGGCACTGTTGATTTATATCATACTGGATCACAATATAAGTTTTCCTCTGCCAGAGATCCGCTGGTCATCTCTTCTCTGAACACACGCATTCCAGAAAAAATGTTTGTTTAGGTGCCTGCAGGTCTCATACCAAACATGTTTAGACATGATCCTGCTGGTCAAAGAGTATAAGACTACTTTCATACATTCACAGCTTTTTATTCTACAGATTAGAGGTTTGTCATAACTAATGAATGGATGCTGAAATCTTCTATTGTGTTTGGTTCTCAAAGACTTTCTGATGTCAGGTCTGGTCTGGTCTAAATCATTAGGTTGCCATCCATAAGGCAAGGACTGTAAAAACTCTTCTAAAAGGAATGCCTTTCCATTTATTAAAGGTGCTTCTCTAGATGCCATAAGTAGTGGAATCCCAAACTGAAGTGTGACCAGACTGCATCATTCACTGCAGTGTGCACATCACAAAGTGAGGCCATGGAAACAAGGGGGCAATGTGGTCCATTAGACTCGGTATCATGGCCAGAAGAGGCTCACATGGTAGTTGTAATCTGGCATGATGGCTGAGGACAGTGTTGTTTAGATGATCTCCAGTGAAAGTGTTGTTTTCACAAAGCGTACTGAGATTCTGCTGTTAAATCATTAGAAAAGCATGACCAAGTTTTCACTTAATTTAATTTAATTTAATTTTATTTCATTTTATTTCATTCATTTTATTTAATTTCATTTCAATTCCATTTCATATCCACTCTTATTTACATCTGGTTTTCTGAAGAAATTAAAGTAGCATTATTTAGTACTGTTTTTTACATGAAATTAGACAAAGTGAATCCTTGTTTTGAAAATTTGTTTTCCTTTCCTCCACAGAAGTTACTTTTATGGAAGTCATTACTTCATTGACAGAGTGTTTTCTTCCAGTCATGACAGCTTCTCACATCATAAAATCAGTGTCAGGTTATTTCTATTTAGTACCATTTTCCTATGTTGAATACCTTTCAAGCCTTTCTGATTAGTTCTATCCAAATGTAGAATAAGGATGAGATTTACCACACCCAACACCTTTATCAATCAAGAAGAATCACCTCACCTGGCAGATATTTTTCCCATAAAATGTTTACACTGCCCTAAATGTTCTAAGTCACACTTCAGACCAAGAATTACCCTCCTATTACTTATTTTTATTCACATAACATAAAACTTAAATGAAACAGGTAAGAATTAATATATGAAATTACTGATTTTTGAAATACCCTGACTGGCAAAAGTTGCTTGTTGTCAGTAAAACAAAGCACTGAAAGTACACCCTGAAAATGCTGTGCTTCCAAATCTATTTAATTCCAGTTTGTTGAGTCTTCATTAATTTTTCAGCTGTGAAATAATACCCATAGTCTAACCTTAACAAAATGCTTTTTTGTTCAATTTGATTTATTATTTTAGCTCCAGAAGTGTTCCAGGCTTTTATGGATGGAGGTCCAGGATACTCGTACCCAGTAGACTGGTGGTCATTAGGAATTACAGCATATGAATTACTGAGGGGTTGGGTAAGAATGAAGTTTGTTGTTATCTAACAAAAATATCAAGTTTGCAGTATCCCTGAGTGCACTCTTCAGGATGAAATTTGAGTGTACAAGGCCCAGGTCAGGAGTGTTATCCTGATTCTTTCCTAGGTGAAAACACTCCTGGGAGAGTTTCACCCCATATTCAAATATATTAGGAAAATTTGCCCCAATTTGGCTAAGTAAAGGCCCAATGCTTAATGGCTTCTTTATAATGCTTATATATATATATATATATATATAATATTTTTGATTCTCTTGGCTAATACCATAAGAGATCTAATGTAATCCTAAAATGCTTGGCCCAGCTATAAAAAATTATTATTTGCCAGTGGATTTGTTTCTTATCTAATCAATTATGTGAATAAGCTTAATGAAAAATCTTCCTGAGCATAGTCTAATATCACAGAAGATAATGGAAAATTCTTTTGGTTCAAAGGATTTCAGTCAGTTGCTTTAATATTTACTATTCCCCATGGAAAACAGTAATTTAGATAATATTTCATGGTGATGACGTAGCTAAAGCAGCTGTTCAGGGTTTTTAAATTATTTTTCATTCTTGTTTTGGAAAGGGGATTTTATTGCATTGCAGTATGCTTTTTTATGTTATGACACTAATACAGTTCTGCTACCTCATCTTGCCAGGCAATCCAACTCACAAGATCTCACAATTTCATGTAGGATGATAGCTAAAGGAAAATAAAAATAAAGAATAATTATTATTCCTACTTTTAAATGGAAAATATAATTTCAGAGTGTCTGCATATTACTAATTCAGAAGCTACATTTTTCAAAGGCCTAAAATCTGGCCAATCTCTTTTGTATTTCCATAGAAATAACAAAAGCCATGCTCCCGAGACAAAAATGTCTCCCATGCAAAGACTCTCCTACGCAGTTTCATCTCTCAAAGTAGAGGAGTATTAAACACCTTTCTTAACAAAAGCAGCAAACTAACAATTATTATCATTTTTTCTCTACCATAATTCTCAAACCATAGGGAGTTTTTAGACTGACATTCTTCCTGAGAAGTTAGTCTGGCTGTGATAAGCATAATACATCCTCAGTCCTTGCCACAGATGGTAGTTCTGCTGCACATACAGTAAATTAAGAGAATATCCTGATGGTTTTATATCAACACTTTCATCAGTGGGTGTCTCCAAGAAAGGAGAGCAATGAATGTTTGTTAATGAAAGCTGAACTCCCAAGACTAATCACAAGAGATCACTTTGATGTGACAAATTCACTTTAGTAAATGAAAAATTATATAGAATTATGTCCATTTGCCAAGATCCATACAATCTTTCCTAAATAAGTCAGTCTGGCTACAAACAAAGCAAAGTTGAGACTGAATCAATTTTTTGTTAGATTTTTTTTAAAATAAAAGCATTGCCATATGAACCTGCTCAAGTGACCCAAGCCAGCTGCTTTGTTTTCTCCAGAAGAGCAGCTCTTGGTTACTGAGGAAGCCAGAGGATGGCTTGGCAGCCCACACCATTGTATGGACAGGAAAAGGTGTGTATTTTAAAATTTTTTAGACCAGACAAGGCCTAAGCTGACACAAGAGAAGTAGCAGTGGGTTGAGGAAATGTGCTTAACCCGAGGCACAACGCTGTCTCAATCCCTGTGAGCTCTGGAGCCCCATGTGCCGCAGCAGCAGATGGCCACGAAGGCACAGCTTGCACACAAGGCTGGAGCTAAACCTGCAGCACACAGCCCCTGCTCCTGCAGGCTCCCACAGCTCTCTGTCCAGCAGCAAGGAAACAGCCCCACTGCCACCAAGAACACGGCTGGGTGCTCAGAGAAACCCACGCTGCCAGCAGCAGCAGCCCTGGGCACTGAGGAGGCTGTGGCATGGGGCACAGGACACAGGGCTGTCTGCAGCTGGAGCCTGGTGCCTGCAGGAGGCAGGAAAGGAGGGAGCATTAGAAATAAGGAACATCACAAATTTGATTTTCCACCTCAGAGCTGTGCATAGCGTATGATGCTGACAGCCTGAATTCAAGAGGTGATAAGTAAAAGAAAAATGAGTAAAAATGAGTTGTTTTTCATTGAGCTGAATTATTGTTTTTATTTGCCTCCACTGCTCAGGGTGCTCGAGGCATTCCAGCCATTCTCATTTCTGGCTTCCTGCTGCTGGGCAGCCAAAAACATGTTCTGCTTGAAATGAGCCTGCAGATACAGGAGCGTGTTGTGTCCAGTACTGAGCTTTCTGCTCCATTTTTTGGTTACACATAGTACAGCTAACATTTCTCAATAAGTTGTAGGTACATTTTTCTCCTTATCCAGCTACTGATAAAAAAGCTAGCAAGAAAAAAGCAAATTCATACAGCCTTTCATCAAACATTGATATTTTCACAAGGTCCATGAAATTTAACAGTAATTTAACTGTATGATGCAAACCGTGCCATGTGTCAGACTCTTCCTGAGCTATAGACAGCTCCTAAAATATGCTGCAATAAATGTCTTTGCTATGAATTCAATAGAGACAACAATGTGAAGGAATGAGTAGTAGGTAGGATTCCCAGATTCTGACTTTCACTGCAATGTGAATAAACAACAGACTTTGATAAAAAAAGCCTGAAAAAAAGCAAACCAGATTTTTTTTTCTTTTTTCCACAAAATAGAACTGAAGGGATAGGACCTTTGAGTGGATTAAATAGATGAAAAACAGGGGAGATAGAGGTATGAAGGGCCTCAGGAGACCAAGTTTATAATGGCCATTTATAGTTTGAATTAATAACAAAAAACTTTTAATGATTCCTTATAGTTGCTAATTTTAGAGTTAATTGCCATTTTCAAGAATTGGAGCACATTCTTTCTCAATGATCTTTATTGATCACATTGTTATATCAAGCTAAGTAACAGTAGGTTGCTTTTGGGTGACAGAAATCATGTAAAAGTTTCATTTTTAATAACTGTTTTATGGCAACATTACCACATGTAGAGAAAAGCATATGACAGACTATTTCTAATGACAATTTTGAACCCAATTCAAGAAAATTATGCATTTAAATCAGACATTTAGGTCCTGTTGAATTCATATGGACATGATACAGCTAAATTACAGTGGGCTAACTGAATGTGACTCAAAGCAAAAAGATTGAGACCTTCCTTGGATTTATTTTTAGAGCACTCCAGTGCCCTGGAATGCACTTGGTTTCATATGAAAGTTAAATAAGTGCATGAATCTTCCCAGAATAAGAATATGTCCTGGGTCTTTACGAAGTGTGACTCCGATTCCTTAACAGATTAGATAACTAACACCTAGAAATAGTTTTAAATTATAATCTTCTACAATACTAGCAAAAGTCAAGGGCTGAATCAGTTCTTAGTCAAGGTAATGAGCATCTGCCCTTTGCTGTTCAGGATATTGGATTGATAGGAAGCTCTATGTTGTTTGTGAATTATGATGCATTAATTTTCACACTGCTGCTAGGGTGGCATTTAGCTGCAGGTCTCATATTACATATTTATCACCTGCTGGGTACAACTTAATTCACGAGCAATCCACTCTCTGTCCTTGTTTACAAAAATACATTAAATATAATTGTAACAACTTGCTTCAAACATACAAGTATATGCACAGAAAATAACAGGAGTATAAATTTATATGTAGTATTTTATTTCCAAATTCTGCATGTAATAACATATAAATCAGAGAAAACTTCATGAACAAAGCACTCCAAAGACCAGAGCTTTTCTTCATCTACAGAAAAATTTAGGCACTGCAAACACATGACAGCAGATCCATGTAGTGTGTTCATTTTTAATTTTTAAAAAAGTCAGAGATAAGGATTGGGATTTGGGTCTTTTTTTTTTACTGTGATTCTGACACAGACTTTTGTGAGCATTTTTTAGTTTCTTTATCTCAGTAAAATTAGGATGACAAAGCTCCTTTCAGCCGACTCTTTTCAATTTTGTTGGTTTAGGTCGCAAGAACTGATTACTAGTATTACAAGCAAAAAAGTAGTAAACAATCCACATTTCACATAGAATGCCCCAGGAACAAAATTATTTATTAATCTCACTTGAATTGATACTTCCTTTCATAAGAGAAAAGTTTTCAGAGAAAATGCATTTATGAGTAATTACATTCATTACATCCAAAGAAAAGCACACACACAAAGGATTAGTCTCAAAATCATTATGTTTTGAAAATATGAATAGTCTGCACTCAGTTATCCATTCTTGCTGACTTCATATTGATTTAACTTTATCCCAGAGGCCCTATGAAATTCACTCAGCCACCCCCATTGATGAGATACTCAACATGTTCAAGATTGAAAGAGTTCACTACTCATCCACATGGTGCAAGGGCATGATAGCACTACTGAAAAAGGTAAGGAAGCACAAACACCTTCTGTCCTCTGTTCTCTCCTCTTCCAGAAGCCCCTCCAACACTGGAAAAGGCATCAGACAAACACACAGGTTAGGTAGTCAATATTTCAAGGATAAGAGAACGGAGCTTATTTCTAGGATGTTCTGAATGTTAGTGGGTTGGTATTTTCTCTTCAGAAGATGCAGTATTCTTAGACTCAGGCTTTTCCTGGCTTCAAAGAAGTAAAAATTTAATATGTCTTTTATTTTAAAGCTGCTTCATTAGTGATAGTAAATGTTTGGGGATCAGTAATTCCTCATCTCTGCCCTGACCCCATTTCCCCCCCAGTTCTGGATATGCAAGTGGGACAGGGAGGGAAGGAGCACTCTGCCCTCTGAATTTCTGCTGCAGTTTCCAGACAGGGAGATTAGAAATTAAAATGGCTGTATTTCTTCCTGTCCCATGTTACTATAGTTGCAACAACAAAAGTCGAGGCACTTTGCTGGAAACATCACTAGGCTACAAGGAAAGGTTCTTTCTGAGTGCATCCAACCCTAAAAATTGTTCTTCCTAAAATCTCAGTTTTTTGTTTGCTTTAATTGTCTGGCCAAACTGCAAAAATAATCTGTCTCATTTAGGTATTTAAGATCATCAATATTGATACTTAAACAGGAAATATTTGTGATTGTCTGAATAGAGTAATAAAAAATATATGTCTTTCGCAGCAATTAGCAATCTAGTTTTGAATAGCTAGAGCAGTGAGGTGGATAATTTTAACTGCTGCCAAGATGGTCAGTGTAACCTCCAAAATATTAAAGAGAAAATACAAATTATTGGGTGGCATTGATCTGTGGTGCTTCGTTTCTTGTGGGCTCTTGTGTATTTGTAAGCAGGCTTTTGTTGCTAATACATTTATACACTTCATGCCTGCAACAGCCATCTGGTGGCAATTAAACTGTACTCATATCCTATGAGTTATTACTTTTAATTTTTTTTTTTAGATGGGACTTCTAACATCTGTTAGAAGATTCCCTAGCTCTTTTCTTCCTTATAAATATGTATCATACAATTTCTGTATGTGATGTATTTACTCTTCTGTATGGCATCCAGTCCCTCAGAAAATGCCTTGTGCTTGATCACAGCTCCTCACTAAGGACCCAGAGTGCCGCCTTTCAAGCCTTGCAGACATCCAAAACTCTCCATACCTAGCTGATGTCAACTGGGATGCTGTTCTAGAGAAAGCTGTGACCCCAGGCTTTGTTCCTAACGTAAGTCAATATTCCAGGTGAATAGTGTTTGTAAACTCCAACTTTAATTATCACTGCCGTTTTACTTGTTTATGCTTGTATTTATTGCTCTTCAGTGATTTACTTGGGATTCTACTTTCATTTACTCAGTCACAGCTAAGGGAAAATTCGTCCCATTTCAATAGATCACAACAAAAACTAATTAACCTTGGCTCACTTTTCATTCCTTTTCAAATAAAAGAAAACTTTTTCCAGACTTTGCATTTCAGCTGTTAGAGCAAATGATTGCCAGAGTTAATTCTGAGACAAAGAACACCAAGAAGACTGTTGTGGCTGTGAAAGTTAGACATTTGAATAACATTTGGAAAACTTTTTAACATCCTAGTATGCTGTTACTTTTTCACTTAAAACATAGTGTTCCAAAAGGCTGACCTATTTCCTTTGTGACAGTTTCTCACAATAAAACATTCCTATTCTGTGAGGGAATCTGGTGGTTTCTTTTTTACTGTGGTCCCATTTTGTTGGTATTTTCTGTATAGTTCCTTTTTGATAATTTTCAAGTTAAAATATATTTGGGTGCCATGAATAAAAAACAATGACTGTGGTGTTAATATGCTGCTTCACTTTCTTCAGTCATATTGCACTGTAATTATTGTCCAAACAACATATTTGTAACATACCAAAGTTTTTTTTTAATGCAACTGTAAATAAAGGTGAGGAAGGTGGAATAGGTAGAACCTGACTTCATCCAGGTGCACATTAGAGTTCATGATAAACATGGTGGGAACAGAATCCAACCCTTCAGACACTAAAGGTGAGAGAGAGCATTGCCTAATGGGGCAAAGGTAGCCAGGTGTGCTGTCAAGACACTGCCCTCCATACTTGCTGGGCTTCTTGGCACCTGACCAGAGCCTCTCTGGAAGTAACATCCTGCAGGAGAAGAAAGCTGTGGGTGGGTAAGTAGCATCTCCCTCAGGGAACTGGGAGAAAGACCAGGAACACAGCAGGTAACAAGCACAATAGGAGAAGGGAAAGGCAGGCAGGTCCCTCTCACAGGCTCTCCAGAGCAATGCTCACCTGTGGGGAAAGTCCTTCCTTCCACTTCTTTGCTCAATCCTCGTGCAAGAGACACAGAGAGGTGAATGTCATATCTACCAGGCCATGACTCTTTCACCTGATGTCTATGCAGCTGGAATAATTGTGGTTCCATGCCAGGGTCCCCCCTACACTCAGGTTGCTGTCCCAAGCAAAGCAATGCAGAACAAAGCCCTTCTTGGCCTGTTGGACTCCATTCTCCTGGTGTGTGGATCTACAAGATGAGACTGGCTCTCCTTTTTTCCTGTTTTGAAGTTAGAGCTGCTCTTTAGAATATCAGAGGGGTGGACTTGCTTTTCAGGCAAAACTCAACCAATTATTTACACTTCTTACTCCCAGCTAAAATTTAATCCCCAGTTATCAGCACGTGGAAAACTTCACAAAACTTCCCTTATAAGGGACATCCAGCTCCCCACACCCAAAGATAAAATATATGTGGGGTTCCAAGAGTCTCAGACTCTGCAAAGACAGATTTTCTTTCCACATTTGAATTCACTTTGTTTGTGTTTTGGCAGGCATCTATAAAACTGAAGGGGAAATCTGTAATATGTGAAGCAAAGTAATATTCTACATTTAAAAGGAAATAGGAGTAAAATGTTTCATTTATCTATCCAGATTAATTTGAAAGTCCCATTACAAGCTCTACCAGACTCTTCTGTGTATAGTCTGATATTGCAGGGCTTGTTCCACCTGGTCGATCGAGTGTGTCAGGAAAAACACTGAGGTGAGAATCAAAGTGTCTTTTCTAGCCCAACATTTCTTTTTATGGAAACTTTGCTGTTTCATGAGACCAAGTTTGGTCACACATTTTCCAGGAACATTCTCTTTGTAGCACCAGCAAAATGCTCACTGATAAATCGGGGCCACACAACAAAATATTTCTTGTTTTTCAGCCTTTGGTGAGAAGGTGAACTGGGGCCCTGTGACCTGCAGAGTGTTTTGAAAACAGAGAGTTTTATAAATTTAGACAGCTTGCCATGACTGTCAGGAGCTTGTCTGCCTTCTACAGCTAGGAGAGCACATGGGGGACCCATGGGAGCAATGTCCCATAGCTTAATGTCTCCCTTATAGTTTGATTCCATAAACATAGTTCTTATTTAAGTGGCACATGTGTTTCTTTATGGCTTAGTTGGTTTCTTCATTTTCAGCTTGGAGTCATAAATTGTTGTCAGTTTTTTTTAAAATATAATTTGTTTTATTTTTAAAGCTTCAGAATTAAAGTGACATATTTTTTAACTACTCAATCAAATCTAAAAACTATGAATGCTCAGGGAAGGAACTGATATTGATGAAACCCAAGGAATTGCTTATTTATTAATAAATATAAATAAGCTGTAAACTGGCAGTAATAAAACCCAAATATGTTCTACTAAAGCTGACTGGATAATATGCAGGAAAAAGCATCAGATATCTAAATATTAAGCTCTGACTATACAAAATTTGCTAGGAATAAAAATGATAGAGAGATCTCTAAACCAAATGTTTCATTGTAGGACATCACAAATTATACAAGTAGCTTCTGATGTGATTTTAATGTTTAGTGTCTTTGGTAACTAAAAATATCTGTCATTTATATGTGACTTATTTTAGTTTAGTACTTCCACCTTGACAGTGACAAGGGTATGATTGAACTCTCAGAAGTCCCAGAGGAAAACAGGTTGCTTTTAACATCTTCTACTACACAATTCAAATTGTTTTTGTGAAGGACCTCCTGGTATAACAAAGAATCTTAAAATTTGCTTCAAGCATCCCAAATTAACATAACATTTTTTTATGGAGAATCCAAAATATTTAAGTAATGTGTGTAATGGGTAAGGAAAACCTTTATAAAAAGTGGATAGAACAGAAAAAGAATAATAGATTGGAATGAAACACCTGTCTGGGAAAAGCCAAGAAGGATTCACCAAGGACAAATGGTACTTTCCAAACCTTATCATATTCAATGACAAAGTAACCTGCTCAGTTGATATGGGGAAAGTGGCTCTCATTTACCTGGGTTTCTCTAAGGCTTTTGATATATTTTCCCACAGTCTCCTTTCTGATAAATTTATGTGTTATGGTATAGAAAAGTGATCCATGTAATGGGTGGGGAGCTGGCTGATGGGCTGCACCCTAGAGGAGCTGGAAAACAGCTCCTTCTCAAACTGGCAGTCTGTCACAAGTGGGGTCCCCCAGGGATCAATAATGGATCTGCTCAACACCTTAACAATGTGGATGATGGGATCAAGTGTACCTGAGGAAGTCCACTGATGATAACAAACTGAGTGGGGAAGTGGACACTTTGGGAGAACTACCTGCAGGAAGACCTAACAAGAACCTTATGAAGTTCAACAAGTGTAAGGTCTTAAACCTAGGAAAACATAACCCAGGGGTGTAGCACAGGGTCTACCCAGCTGAGGAACAACTCCAGCAGCTCTGGAGGTCCAGGTGGACAGCAAGCTCAACGTGAGTGACCAGGGTGCTGCCATGGCAAAGAAAGCCAGTGGGCTGTTGAGTTGCATCAACAAATGCATCACCAGCAGAAATAAAGAAGTCAGTGCCCCACAGCACTTGCCAGGCCACACCTGGAATACTGTGCTCAGTTTTGGTCCCCACTACACAAAAAAGATGTGGACAGGCTGGAGAGGGTCCTGTGAAGGGCCACAGAGATGATCAGAGGAGTGGGAAATAGACCATAATAGGAAAGGCTGAGAGAACTGGGGCTGTAGAGCCTTGAGAAAAGAAGGATTAGGGGAGATCTTATCACCATGTCCCATTAATAAAGGTTAGCTACAAAGATGGAGACTCCCTTTTTACAGGGAGTCACATGGAAAAGACAAAGGGTACTGGGTACAAGTTACTCCTGGGAAGATTCCAGTTGGACACAGGAGAAAAATTTCACACAACAGCAATCAGCCATTTCAATAATCTGCCCATGAAAACAGTGAATTCCCTAAAACTGGACTCTTAAGATTAAGCTGGACAGGTTGCTGGGATATCTTGTTCAGACTGGGGATTGTGGTTTTGACCAGAAAAGTTTGACCAGATGATCCTTGAGATCCTTTCCAACCTGGGATTCTATAATACTGTGAACTCTTTTTTGTATAAGTGCTGCTAACCAAAACAGACCTGCTCCTTCCTTTATTCTCATGGACAACATCTAAGTAAATGAATCCACTGCAGGACTTCAGAAAATCAGATTTCAACAAGGTCTTAGGGGTGCTCCTCATCTCTTCTGCACTATTACCAGTGTCATTTATGCTCTATAGCACTAACTGATATTCTGATGAAGACCCTGGGCCAGATTAATCTCTTTTATGGAGTAACATAACTTTAGTCACTCTAGGAATGTATCTGTTTATAACTAGGAAGAGGATCTAACTCTTTATAATTGCTTTATAATATGATTTTTATCTTATCTCCCTTATTTAAACTTTGAGCATCACTCCAGGCCTAAAAAGAGAGTTTTCATTTTACAGATGTGATTGAGGAGCTGGTTCATTATTACTGCTGTTAACACTTGCCAAGCAAATTAAAAAGCACAACGATGCTTCAAAGAGTAACTTTGAATCCTTTTGTACCAGAAAGGAAGACTGAACTGTGATCCCACATTTGAACTTGAAGAAATGATTTTAGAGTCCAAGCCTCTCCATAAAAAGAAAAAGCGACTTGCCAAAAACAAATCCAAAGACAGAGCTAAGGAAACCTGCCCACTGGTAAGATGGGGTCTGTGACTGCAGTCAGTGGCATTTTGTTTACACTCTAATAGGCAAACTCAGTTAAGTTCTGTTTTATCATCTCTGAAAATAGACTCAGCTTCTCTATCTGTCATTTTATACATTGCATAAATCATTTCCAAAGCAAGATGAAAAGCAGCCATTTCTTTCAGTCAAACAGTAACAACATCTTTAAGCTATAATAAATTTTAAGATTATCACAGATGCTCATTTAAAGTATGAAAAAGTGTTGCCAGTTGTGAAAAACACTTCCCACACATGGACAAATAGTTACAAAGAGTATTTATTTGCTATTACTACCAAAAATGAAAAATATGCAGTGAAAAGGCTTGTTAAATATAAATATAAATATATGTTAAAGCTGTCTCTTCCACTCTTGACTAATGTGTCCCATGTAGGAAGATTCATTGTATGAACAGTCAAGAGTACCGAGCAGATTAATAATAATTTCCAGACTTGAATTATCATTCCAGTGAGGTTTTATAAATTACATTGCTACTCTTAATGATTTTGAATGTTCATGCAAGCTGTTCTTCCTAGAGCTATCAGATGTAAAAATCCTCAGGAATTCTTTGTGGAGAACTTCTTCCAAAAGAATGAGATTGATTGTGCTATCACAGCCCAGTTTAATGAGTCTATGAAATGCCTCTTGATAGCATTCATTCATAAGCCTTTTTGTTCAGTGTTGTTTGTGTTGTTGTGATTTTTGTCTATGATTTCTCATCTTTTTAATCAACCTATTCATGCTGTTTTTTAAAGAACGTACACCTGCAGCAGTGCTTGGAAACCGTTAGGAAAGAATTCATCATATTCAACAGAGAGAAGTAAGTGCATTTCTTAATGCCTCTTTAGCATTCAGTACTAAAATTAAATTGAGAACTATTTTTTTTTCTCCCAGTGTAAGGGAAGGTGATTAATGATCACAGCAGCGCCTAAAAGACTGGATTTCCATTGATTTCTTCCTCTTATAGTCTCTGATGTGATGGTTTTGTAGTTCTTGCATCCCTGCAAGCATGCAGAAGACCTTGTGATGAAAGTATGTTAGAAATATAAGGTAAATGTTACTGAAACTCCCCAGAGAAACTGTCAATAATTAATCAGAGGACTACAATAAAAAGTACTGCTTTTTCACAACTCAAACAAAACCAAGGGAAGTCATAACTCATGAAATTTTAATGATATAAATGGCACTGTTCTGACTTGGAAAAACTGTTCACACTTCCCCACTATTAAAAAAAAAGTTATTCCAACATTCACTATTTCAACAAAGCTAATTATTACAGCCATGCCAGACATGAAGCAAGAACTTCTAATGTAAGGGTCAGTCAGGGTTGACAGAAGCACAAGCTGACTCCCAAGGATATCAGTAATCTTCCTGGCTCAATTAATGCACTTGTATTTCTTGTAATTTACTGACTCTAAGTTGCAGTAATTACGGACCCTTTTGTATTAGCAGATGCAATTCATAACAATGGAGTTGTTTGTGTCTTTGGTCAAATTATCACATTTCATTCAAGTGTATTCCATGTTTTATTTGACTTAATTATATATGCAAGCCTTTGTAATAGAGTTGTAATATGTTAAAAAATTAATTAAAAAGTTATACATTTTACTTAATGTATACAATGCAGGTAATTGCTGTCTCTGTAATTAAAACTGAGAAAGGAACAGTCAGCTTTGCACAGTTCACACAATAGCACAAAGGAAATTATGCCGTGATCTACCTTTACTCCTGTTAGTCTGTGGGATTTTCTGGGATGTTTCTGTGACTGATACTGACTGCTCACAAAAACTACAAGGTCTTAGACAGAAAAGCAAGGTCCACCAGATTCTTTATGTTATTTTGCATGATCTCTAGCACAGGAAAGCCACTGATTTCTGTAAAAGCCATAAAGAAGAGAAGCCAGACCAAGTCAGCCCCTTGGGGGATTCTGTAAATGAGAACTAATGAGTATTAAAATTTGTAGTTTAACCCACAAAACATCAATATTATTAAGATCATAATAGCAAGATTGGAAAAATATTACATTGATTAATCAATTCAATGAGTTTCGTTGAAACTCTACATACAAGTAATTAATTTCCAGATATTAGTCTCCCACCTACTTTAGAGTAATATATGGAGCATATCCAATATGCAGCAATTTTTGGAAGTTAGAACACCAGACTTTGTAAGACATTCAAAATCTCATTGGTGTGTTCACTACCTTGAACAATTTCTCTTGTTGTGATTTTACTGTGTTATTCTTAAATCTTTTTACGCATAGGAATTTTTTTTCGTTTGTTTAATATTGCACAACTACGGTAACAACACAAGCTATAAAGAACTCAGAGAGGCTGATGAGAGATCAAGAGGTTTAAATGGAGTACAAGTAAAATGGAAGCAAAAGGTGAACCACATGCACTTCAATCAGAAAAGCATGTGTTTTGGTCATTGCTTGATTGGCTTTGAGAAGGTGAAGGAAGAATATTTAGTATAGACCTGTCACAGATCCTACATTGTCTAAAGCCACATCACAACCATTTCTCTTTGAAATTGCATCATAGCTTAAGAAAGACACAGAGAGATTTCTGCAATATTTTTCAAAGAAAAAGGTGTTACGAAGCAGGGAAGTAGATGTCAAATGTTTGAAGTGTGAAGTGAATTCAAGTTAATGAGAACAAACTAGCAATGGCAGGCACAGATACCATCACACCAGATGAAGCTACACAGTGTTCACCAGAGGAACTCAGGGTGGGTTTTCTTAGACCTCTGTGCCCTCAGGACTGGATGTACAGGCTGAGGCTGTGCTTACATGGATTTCCACAGCCACATAGCCCATCAAGTTCTTAGGAACAGCTGTAGATGCTGAAAGACATGAACCATTTGTTCCTACAAATAAAATACCTATTAAAATGTGATTGTACCATTAGGTGAGGTGCCAATCCCAAACAGGGCTTTAAATTCATCTCAGATTAATGAAGCCAGATGTTTGGTATGTTCCATGTTCCTCTACATAGTAACTGTTGAAACTATCTGTGTATTTCCTTAGATCTTCATTATATTCAGCAGCAAAAATCTAAATTTTATTGTCACTTAAGCCTCCTGCTCAGTTTACTTCAGCGTCACAGAACACTACACAAATCCTAATAAAGAATGAAAAAAAAAATAGTATGTCTTTCAAGGCAAAAAATTAGATTCCCCAGACTACAAGGATTCAAGGAAAAAATTCAGATGCTTCTAACTGAGCAACATAAATTCAGGTATTAATATGTAGTTAATTTTCTGGCGTTAACCCTCCCAGTTCCACAACATCTTGGAATCCAATACTTGTAAAAGATCTGCTATGAAAAGCAAAATCTGATTTTATTGGATGCCTTGCTGGTAATTCTACTCTGTAGAGCCTCTTTTCCACTGTGTGTCTTTCGTCCTGCAGCAGACCCTGCAAATCTTGCAATGTGTCATACTTGCTTTCTTGTCAAGAAGCTCAGGAGACTATCAGAAACTCTTAGACTGCAGGCAAGGGGAGCAGGGGGAGGTAGACAAAAGGCTCACGGTGCTAAAAAGAATTCAAACATAGTGGAAGAGACTGAGGTATATTAAAAGTTTCAGTTAATGAAGACAGAGACAGAATGTGCACATTTTCTTTATTCTATTGCTTTCTGTACTTAAGTAATGGAAAACTGGTATTTGTAGGACTGTTTTAAGCCAGGGTTTCATGGACAATGACATGAAGTTAGTGATTTTCAGCAGTGGATAAAAGAAATTAGATTTGTATCCCTTACACCATCGTGATCAGAGGGCATCTTCTGTTGAATATTTCAGTGGATGTGAGCTACAAATTAAAATGCATGCATGCATGTGTGTGTGTCTTTTGATATGACATGGGAATATGGCATCTGACCACAGTGACCTTATCTTCCAGCACCTTAAAGAGAGGGACATACACTGTCCTGATCCAAAGTAAAATAACAGGAAAATCCTTTTGAGGGATTAGTTTTCTAATCTCTTAAAAGTGTCAGTGTAGTCTCTTAGTTTTGAACGCATAAACTAAACAAACGCTGATATACAAATGGTCCACACACTGATTAGCTTGAAAATATCATCTGAAGTAAGTTTCAGGGATCTGTTTGGCTCCTTTTTGTGGCAAAATAATTTTGTTTTGGTTTTAATTCCATTTCTGTGAATAGATATTTTATTCTATCCAGAAATGCAGCACCAAACATTTTACAGTATCTTAATGTGTATTTTCATAGACTTGCCAGCAATTTTTCAGGAATTTGATATCATTTAGAAGCTGTTGGCTGCATTTTCTTTTCTTATTTTTTTAATTCTGTCTATGTGTCTGTGGTGGGGGAGATTGTAGAGATAAAGCCACACTCTGCTTGCAGCTTTATTAAAAAGCTGAGCACAGATTATTTTGTTATTTTTGTGCTGTTATCACTAAACAGACCTTCACACAAAACTACATTTCTTTATGAATATCTAAAACTTGAAATGACCAGAAATTAAGAAAAAGACCCAATATTTGCTTGTAATGAAATCATATTTCTTACCCTTTATGGTCCTGAGCCTCTTCTCCCTGAAAGATACCTTTAAGATTGAAGATGTGAGAAAACAAAGGACAAGGAAGAAAACACAACAAATATTTTCTTCTCAGGCAGAATAATCCTTTAGTTAGAAGCTTCACAAATGTAATCAAAATTTTCAGCCTACTAAAGAAAGCAAAATCAAACATCCTCATTTTACTGAGTAGAATATGTCTTTCATATATCCAGTGTACATAAAAATTGGTTAGAATTCTGCAAAACTGTTTTAACAAATGCAATGAACTGATTAGGAAAATATCCATGTTTTTAATAATTCCAGTAAAAACTTTCAAAACATTACTATGAGATTTTTTTACTTAATACTAATATGTTTCAATATCATTGTTATGATATTCAGCTGTCTGGTCCCAGTGATCTGAACAGACTTGTCTCTGTCCTAAGATACTGATACACCTTATTCCTCTTCTCAGTATTTGTTCAATGCTACCACACTAAAAAATCTGCCACAAATTGCATTACTCTCACTTTTCCTGCTATCATTCCTACCATTTGAGCATATTTAGTTCTCTTATAAATGATCCTGAACAGCTCAAGGTAAACATACAGATCTCTGTTCCCAGAATAAACAGCAAAACTTGAGGGATCATATTTTAAGCATATTAAGATGCATAAAATCCTGTTGTCTGATTTTTTCCATATTGTAGGTGAAAAGCTTACTTAATATTCTCTGCATTTTTTAATAAGATAATATTTATTATCTCTCTCATTTTAGTTCTTTTTCTTTTCTTTTAATTGTCTTTTCAGATTCAAATCCAGAGTCCCTGAGTACTCTCTTTCATTTTAGTTTGATTGAAATTGAATATTCATAATGATTTGTAGTGTACTTCATTGAATGTATTTTTCATAATATGTCTTTTATGTCACTTACTGTCTCTGGAGATATTTATCATAATCCTTCTAATATCTGAATGCTTTTTGGATAAGACTGCAGTCCTTTTCTTGCCCCTTTTGCTGGCCTTAATTCACTTCAAATTCATTTCTTTCTGAGCATTCCTACTGGTTGCACTGCTCTTCGCTGAACCTTTCTTCTCCCTTTTGTAATGGAAATTTCTGCTTTTGGAGATTGCTCTTGCAATTGGAAAGATGCTTTTCTGAATGTGATTGGACCTGGTTTGTGTTTGGGCAGTAATAGCTGTTGCTTGATCACATGAGCTCTTTCACTTCTGCCTCTGATTCCTGCCCATTATTACTGCGTTAGAATTATCAATCCAAATGTTGCTCTCTTCTTAGTGAG